AAAAAAAAAAAGTGTAATAACACTATTTTGAATATTTATGTTAATATTTCTATTAATTAAATTTCCAAGTTGGTAGTTATAAAATAAAATAAAAAATGGGATATTCTCCGGGGGATGAATCCATTCAAAAACTTCTTAAATTACCACTCAAGTTACCATCAACATCCACATATATAATTGGGTATTATAAAAATATTTTTGAACACTTGATTTTAAAGTTTTTTATTATTTTATAAAACAATTATAACATGGAGTATATAATATTATTCACATTATCTTTATATGATCAGTTATGGTTGACAAATTATATTTCTTATGGTGGGTGTATCTTCATAGTTTCAACTCTCGATCATTTTAAATGACTACTAATCAATTACGAAAGTTGCGGGCAATTTTGATTTAAAAAAAATCCACCCAACCAATATATGTAATATATCATAAATAACTCAAATTTTTGAATGGGCTAGCTAGTCTATCCATTAGTTAGGGTGCTTTATAAAAAAAATATTTATAGCTAGATGTTATAACTTATTTATTATATTGTTTAAAGTAAGAATTTTTAATTAAAAAATACACGTATATGTTTAAGAACTATGTGTAAACGTTACTTATACTTAAAAGTGTAAACGAGTTGAGTCGGACTCAAATCTTCATACTCGGGGTCAAACATGAGTCTTTATCGAACGAAACTAAACAAAAAAAAAAGCTCGAACACGACTCGTTTATCATTATCTAGAGTCGAATTGTAGAAAATTACGTACCAAGTTAACCCAATTGTCGATCCAGACGACTTTTAACGAGTCAAGTCGAGACAATTATGACCTTTAATCAGACTCGAGCTCCTGAACGAGCCGAACCCAAATCAAACTCACGAGCGACTCGTTTCGTTTAACAGGCGTAACTTTCCTAGCAACATCTGATTTAAAGAAAAGTCCACAAAACCACCACAATTAGCCAATCTAATCATTATATTAACAAAAAGTATATAGTAACACACAAGGCACGCCAAAAATTTCTATTTAGCTAGGGTTTGGTAAGATGTTAAATGAGAATGTAGTTAAGACACAACTTTCAAATAATGCCTTTTTTAATCACTATTCAATAAAAATAATATTAAAAAATTCAATTCGTGCCTTCATCAATCTTTATATATCTTAGCGTAACCAGCTTGGACCCAACCCATTGCACTACGCCACGTCATCACCCCAACCCCTTTTTAATCCAAACCTTCGTTGCAAAAAACACATACTAACACACACAATCTAGAGAGAAAATGGAGGGTTTGATTCCATTTGTGTATAAAGCTATAGTTCAATACAAAAATGGTGGTCAAGGGTTAATCAGCCGGACTTGGATAAACGAGTCGCCTTCGGCTTCTTACATGCGGCTCCCGGGCGACTCTGGCCGGTTTCAGGCCACCGAGATTCAGCTTTTCCGGCCAGATCGAGGCTTTGCAGCCTGCTCACCTGCCCGCCCGGCTGCCGGGCAGGCTATTGGGCAGCGACCGGCGGTCAATTGAACGATGATTGGTGCGTGTTTTGTGGCTGAAGAAAGTTAAGGGCACGTAAAAATTTGACTTGGGAAGGATTGATAATAAGCCTTTTCTTTTTTTATTTTTTTTTTACTATTTTTTTTTTTTTTTTATTTTGTGTTTTTATTGAATTTGTCTTGCATGTGTTTATATTTTTCTTCTTTTCTTTTTCTTTTTTTTTGGGGGGGGTGGAAAACCGGAATAAAGGGTCCACATATGCTCTTGTGTGTGTTTTAATTTGTGTGAAGAATGCCAAATTGTAAATAGTGTTTGTGCATCTGTTGTGAAATGAAGGGAAAAAAAAGAGAAAGTAATAAAGATATTTTGGGTGATTGTTTATTATTATTTAGGAAAATTCTATGGTCCCGTTACGGTACCATCTCGTGATCCAACGGTGAAAACTCCCGACGGAATGGTACCGTAACGGGATCGTAGCATTTTCCTATTATTTAATCAGAAATTCTATGG